GAGCCCACACGCACTATAGCAAAAATCTCTCCAAAAAAAAAAAAAAAAAGAGACCCTACATCACAGATGGAGGTAGAGCCTTTGAGATAGTTTATGGAAAGTACTAAAACATAGAACTCAATAAATATCATCATCATTATTATTATTATTACTGTTAGGTGGAGCCCTAACATAATCACTAATATTTGGCCTTTTACATTTCTTTAAAGAATGATTTAATTTTATTTATTCATTCATTTTATTTTAATTTGATCAGAGAGACACACACAGAGAGAGAGGGAAAGTGAGAAAGCAAGCCACCAGGTCTGGGACTCGATCTGTAGTCGGCCATGTGGGAGTGTCCAGTGCTTTAACCACCACACCACCTGCTGGCCCCTTAAAATTTTTTTTATTTATTATAATTTTTTTTGAGAGAGTTTTACCATAGGGTGTGTGTGTTTGCTGGAGAGACAGAAAGAGACAGAGACAGAAAGAGAAATCACCCCCGGGAGGACGGCCACACCACAATCCCTTCTCTGTCGTTTTCTTGGGATCTTGGGCACCTATGCACATGTGCCCAGCATGAATTTTAAGCTGCCAGGTCTAGGACTCAAACTGCAGTCAACTATGTGGGAGTCAGCAACATAACCATTACATTATCTGCTGGTCCTTATTACTAATACTTTTTTTAAAAAAATCATTATATTTATTTATTTATTATTATTATTTTCACATGAGTTTTGCCAGAGGAAGACAGAAAGAAAGAGATAGAGAGAAAGCAAGCTACCAGGTTCGGGACTCGAACCGTGGTCAGCCATGTGGGAATTCCAACGCCTTAACCACTATGCCACCTGCTGGCCCCTTATTACTACTACTTTTTAATTTATTATAGGGTGTGTGCACTCATGAGACAGAGAGAGAGAGAGAGAGAGAGAGAGAAAGAATGAGAGGGAAAGTGAGAAAGCAAGCCACCAGGTTCGGGACTTGAACCATGGTTGACCATATGGGAATCCAGTGCCTTAACCACCATGGTAACTGGCTGGCACAATATTTGGCCATTTTAACCCAAGAAAGGGCAGTTTGGGGCCAGCTGGTGATGTGTTTAATGCATTGGGTCCCACATGGCCAACTGTACAGTTGAAATCCTGGACCAGGTGGCTTGAGAAATATGCTGGGCACATGTGCCCTGCCTGTCTTCAAATCCCGAGAGGAGACTGGAGGAGAAGGGCTTGCGATGTGGCCATCCCCCATGGGAGGTGAGAGAGAGAACCACCAGGTTCAGGTCTGGAACTGTGGTCAGCCATGCAGGAGTCCAGCGCCTTAACCACCATGCCACATGCTGGCCCTCTCTCCCTCCTTCTTTTTTTTTTTTTTTCTCTCTCTCTGGCAAATGCACGTACCCTGTAGCAAATAAAAATAAAATAGAGACCAGCAGTTGGTGTAATGGCTATGTCGCTGGACTCCCATGTAGTCGACCACTATTCGAGTCCCGGACCCGGTGGCTTAAACTCAGCCAGGCGCATGTGTGTGTGTGCCCAAGATCCCGAGAGGAGAATGGAGGAGAAGGGATTGCGGCGTGGCCATCCCCCCTGGGGGGTGATTTCTCGCTTTCTGTCTCTCTGTCTCTCTCTGTCTTTCTGGCAAGTGCATGTGCCCTATAGAAAAACCTCTCCAAATAAATAAACAAATAAATAAATAAAGATAAAAGGAAAGAGCAGTTTTATATAGCTCAACATAATATTATCATATCATGATTGATCATTAACCAAGAGGGAAAGGCAGGCTTGCACAGCAAAGAATTCGCTTACAATGCCGATGTGGTTGTCAGGGTTCTAATTGCCCCCCCCCTTTTTTTTAAAGGTTATTTGTTTAATTTTATTTGTTAATTTGACCAAAGAGAGAGAGATAGAAAGTGAGAAAGCAAGCTGCTGGGTCCGGGACTCGAACTACCATCTGCCATGTGGGAGTCCAGCACCTTAACCACCATGCCATCTACCAGTCTCCAAGGTTTCTTTTTTTTTTTTT